AATTTTTAGATACAATAGTTCTGATGATAATTTCTGCTTCTTTTTGACGACACGAAAAGTTCTCTATGATTTTTAATGACATATGCGCTTAATAATCATTTCTTAAAAATGGGGTGCTAACTTTTTAACGAAATTCAAGGTCGCATAGTTCTGATCAGCTTAACAGAACTATTTTGTGAATACCTAGAGTTCTTGATACACAAAAAACATTTTTTAAATATAATAAAGTTTAAAAAAAATAGTGGAAATCTTTGAAAATTTTTTCGAGAGTACCGAGTAGTTCTGAGTAGAGTTTCTTATAGTACTCGACGAGTTCTATCGAAAACTGTAAGGTGAAAAAGCGATTGGACCAACGGTTTGCAAGATACGTGTACAGCGACATTTGTCGGAAGATCAACAATTTTTAGAGTGAGTGTATCTCGGAAACCGTTGGTCCAATCGCTTTGAGCCCTGATACTTTTCGACAGAACTCGCCGAGAACTGTCCAGAACTCCGAACCGAACTACTGTCGACCGTTCTGTCGAAAAGTATCAGGGTTCAAAGCGATTGGACCAACGGTTTCTGAGATATACCTACTTATTTAAACATTGTATGATCTTACAAATGTAACAAATGTCGCTGTATCTTGCAAACCGTTGGTCCAATCGCTTTTTCACCTTACAGTTTTCGATAGAACTCGTCGAGTACTATAAGAAACGCAACTCAGAACTACTCGGTACTCTCAAAAAAATTTTTAAAGATTTCTACTATTTTTTTAAAACTTTATTATTCTTCAAAAATGTTTTTTATGTATCAAGAACTCTAGGTATTCACAAAATACTTCTGTTAAGCTGATCAGAACTATGCGATCTTGAATTTCGTTAAAAAGTTAGCATCCCATTTTTTAAAAATTATTAAAAAATGATTATTAAGCGCATATGTCATTAAAAATCATAGAGAACTCTTCGTGTCGTCAAAAAGAAACAGAAATTATCTCATCAGAACTATTGTATCTAAAAATTAATTTTTTAAAAATTTTTTATTTTTTTTTTAATATTCGAAAATTTTTTTTACATATCAGGAACTCTAGGCAATCGCAAATTGAAGCTATTAAGCCGCTCAGAACTATTCCACCTCGAAATTCGATAAAAAGTTAGCACCCCATTTTTACAAAATGTAAAAAGAATGTTTATTGAGCGGAACTCTTGTTATTAACTATAGGGAACTCTTCAAAAGGAAGTGGGAACTCTAATCAGAACTCCTGAGTACTATAGTTGGGGTGCTAACTTAACATACCCCGAACACACCTCCAAATACGTCGCGAGCGACGAAGATAACAAATAGGGATATCGTAGTAGTATAGGATCACAATTATAACTCGTTACTTGAGCAAAAGTTCGCATCATGGATCCTCCTGGTATAATGGTTATTAAATCTGCTCGACAACGGAAAAATTGCCTGGAATTATTATATAAAAGGTGTCTATACATATATTGTACATGCATGCATATATGTATATACATCATATATCGATCATAGGAAAATCGAAACGCGAAGATGTGGTCTTGAGAAGGAGACTCGGTTACACCTCCTTCTTTAACAAAGGCGTCTCCGCGAAAGCAAGACTGCAGAATGACGTGGAATTGAGCGGAAGTCACTCGTGCGCGGCCTTCGTCGCGCTGACTTTTTGTCTCACACGCTCGATACTCGGTGACTAAAGAGTAAACCCCGAGATTAATAATCTTGACGAGTTAACGAAACGCCTAAAAGTGTAATACATATATGCGTTTACTTTGAAAACATGTCATTGAAGATGCGACAATTGGAGTAGGATATGTGCTCGCGTTTCTACTATACAATTAACTTTAATCTCAGTTCTCTTTCTCTCTCTCAACCCATTCTTCATCGTTTTCTAATTCAAAAAATTAAAAACGAGCAAGTTGAATCGAGATTGAAATTAATCTCTACGTTGTTATGGTACAAACATTAATCTTTTATACTAAAAATTGAAATATGAAAGAGAAATTTCAATGTTACTAGAATTACTCGTATTATTCCATATATAATAATTTGAAGCAATTGAAAAATTTGATAAAACAAACTACTTTTTTAGAAAAAAAAAAAATCAAAATTTTCGTTTTTTTTTTTTTTTTAAATGAAAGAAATTTGAGACATTCCATGCTTTGTAAGAAAAGCAGAATTATCGGGTGGATAAAGTGATGGTGTGTTTTCGCGGAAAAGCGCGTTCGATGTTTGTATATACCTATAACCTTTCCTGTCACGTATACGAAGGAGCAGGTTGCACAAATTAGAATTCGTAAAATTACAATATTTCATGCATGCAAATTTTTACAGATATTGTTGTTAAAATTGTTTCACGAGTATTTTATCGATCAAAGCGATATTTTAAATCTACCGCCAATCACTTGGGCCTAAAGTAAATGATAAAAAAACCTTGTCTTCAAATATAGAGATATGTGTATTAGCTTTCACTTTGAAAAATAGTGATAAGAAGAAAGGACATTTAAGAGTCAGTAAAACCTTATTTAAAATTATAAACGTCAAGACATAAAATGTAATAATAAAAATAAATTACAAAGATAAAAAAAAATTGATAAATATAAATCGTGAAATGAAATATAAACTATTACATGTTTCGGCCACTCGGTTCGGCGATCCTCAGATAAAAAAGATGATAATTAGTAGTATACAATATAACGAAAATCATGCTCAATCAACCGAAGATCGCCTCACATTATGCATGACCCTTGCAAACATTTACATGTGTCGTAAAGTGATTGTTACATTTGCGATGGTTTGTCACATTGAGGACGATGGCTTCTCTTTTGAGTGATACGATTACCAAAAGACATAACTAACAAACGGTCTGTTTGCAAGGAACTCTTGTTTCATGCATAATGTGAGGCGATCTTCGGTTGACTGAGCATGATTTTCGTTCTATTGTCATCTTTTCTATCTGGGGATGGCCGAACCAAGTGGCCGAAACATGTAATAGTTTATTTCACAATTTATTAATGAGGATTTATAATAAGGTTTAACTGACTCTTAAATGTCCTTATCACTATTTTTGAAAGAGAAGAGTCCTTTACTATTTTTGCTTTCACTTTTATACGCAATTATACAATATTATAATAATATAGATGCTGTATATTAGATAAATTTTAATTTCAATTCTTTCCGCGTTATTCTTCAAAACGAGATGCAAGAATTGCTTGCCGAGTTCGCAGTTATGGTATGTAATGCTGACTGAGCGGTGTAATTAATGAATTCACGCTAGTCATGGCACAACAAGCAAGGTTGAAAAATCAGCGCTATGCTATAATTCGTTCGTTATTAAATAATATCGATCATTTGTTATAATCGAAGTATTGAATGACGCGATCCAATTTATCCAAGTGTTACATATATGTGTAAATATTTCTTTCAAATCGACTGTTTGAAACACACAAATATTGGCGCAAATGCGTGTATTTAATCTAGCCACAACACGTGTACAAAACTAATTAAGGAGACAATTTCGGTTACTTCCGTATTAATTTTAATATAAGCGATTTTCATTCGCGCGTGGACGAGAGTTAAAAGTAATAAATTAGTTAATAAATATTATTCGAAACGCGCACTTGTATAATGTATTAAAAATGTTTAATTGCTTTAGATTTTTCCACGAAAATCCAAATCGCTTCAATCATACGCTATGCAAGTCGATCGTTGCGATATCTTGAACCTTCGCATTTTTCAAGCGTCACGTGACTGCATCGCTTCGCGACAGCGATGCAATTTGATACACGTATACGAGTGAGTGAAATTGAAGCGAAATATTGAGATTGCAGACGTAAGAGACCTTCGAACGTATAACTTTTCAGCAAATTTTGTCTCTATACAAACAACAAGTAGAATTTAGACATTTAGAGAATCGGATTACTATGACCAAATTTTTTGACAAGCACTCGATATTATAGTTTCGAGTTTCATTTCATGCATTTGTGGCGTAACAAATCGACACATTCTGTTTTATACTCATTGTGAAGAAAGACAGAATGTGCGCAATGTAGCAAATGGAGAGGAAAACACTCGAAATTATAGACTCGTAAAGAAATGTTTTCATCTAACAACAAGATTTATCCGCGATTCTCTGCTTTCTATCTCTGACGAGATTCGAACAATTTGTAAGAAAGGAATTAACAACTTTGAAACGAACATTATATCGATTCTTCGAAACTGTTTATCAGCCAGTACTATAAAAAGTGGTGTTCGTGGAAATGAGAAGAAATTTGAGATGACTTGGGTGCACAGGATCTCTGCTGCACCTTGAAAGACGCTTGGCATCAGATGCACGTAAGAAGAACATTGTAGGAAACGCGCGTCGGGCAAGTGTACTACGTGCTGCACGCGCCCATACCAGTCCAAGGTAGAGGAAAAAAGGGAGGAACGCTGTTTCGAAAGGCAAGGCAAGGCAAGGCAGAGGCAGCAGCTAGGGCTCGCGAAACGCTCGTGAGAGAGAGAGAGAGAGAGAGAGAGAGCGAAGGGAAGCGGCTCGCCCCATCGTTGGACGCACGCTGTCAAAAATCATTACGTTTTTCCTGCCCTTCGTCATTCTCCAAGTCCAAGACTTCCCTTCCAAAGTCGACATTTAAAAAACAATCGCGAATTGAAGGAACAGCCCTTCGCGCGCGCGGACGCATCCGACGCGTGATCGATATCCTCTTTGTCCGAACATTTGCGGATCGAACAACCGTGCGCGAGCGAAGACGTAGACGTCGGAGTCTCGAAAGGATCGGCCGATATTGACCGTCGGTGCGGTGCGGCGCGTACCGTTCTTACAATTGGAGCGTCAAGGAGGTGCGACCGCGAATCCTCGCGACAACATAGGATTGAAATGTCGCGAAAAGAGACGGAGAGAAATGAAGAGAGGAGCACACGAGGCTCGAGAAAGAGGTGCTCTCGACGCTCGCGCGCTCTCTCTCTCTCTCTCTCTCTCCCGCTTGTTCATGTGTACTCACTTCATGTTTGCTTGGCCGGTGAGCGTATGCTATGCCTTCATGCAAGCCGTATTCCTGCTTCTACACAGTATATCACCGAGCCCATGAAAACACGCGAGATTCGGACAAGACTTGCGGTAATTCGACATATAAATAACGAGAATGAGTCTAACGCGCGGCACTAACACCACCGTGACACCCTGCCGCTGCACATCTGGCCGGCCATATTGCCGTCATTGCCGACTCCGAATCCGAATTCCGACTCCCTACCACCCAGCAGCCAGCCAGAGACCCATGCTCTACACACCACCCACCTACACACACACACACACCCTGGTCGCGTCGCGCGCGAGTGCCGGCACTGCCAGCACCTGCCAGGCCGGCATGAAGCAGCGAGCGAGTGCTAACCAAGTTACGCGCAGTTGTGCAATTTGCATGGAAATTCCGAGCGTCGTCAACAGAGGGCACGACATTTGTTTCCCGTCTTTTTAATTCCGTTATCTTGACGATTCAAATGTCGCTTCTCTTTCAGCCTCTTTTGCTGCGAAGAGAAAACGTGTGTAGAGTTGCGCGACGTCAGGTATACACTATATATTTCCAGTACTCTCGCAGTGAATACGAGTGAATGATGGAACGCAGCCATGCTGGCGCAGTCTGGCGCAGTCGTAAGAGATATATAGAGAGAGAGAGAGAGAGAGAACACGTTCCCGCGTTACCGACATTACGCAATTGCACCGATATCATCGAGATGCCATACGGTTCGTCGCCTCGTCACCTCGCGGTGATAGCGTCGCGTGCTCGGTCGAGGGAGCAGTATCAACTCGAGTGTATGAGTGTGGTGTGGTGTGGTGTGGTGTGGTGTGGTGTGGTGTGGTGTGGTGTCGCGAAAAGCGATGCGCGAATCAAGAGTCTTGACGCGTGTGTTTCGCCAGATAAACCAGCCACGCGCGAGTTTCAGCGAGTTTCAGCGAGTTTCGCTGTAGCGTGAAAGTAGTCTTCTGCGATTGCATCGAGTCGCGATGTCAGGCAGCGTGTAATCGCGAGACGAGTGCGACGAGTGCCGTGATACGGCGTCTTTCCTCGACTCTGACAAACGAGATAGGGAGCTAGCCCTGCTAGCAGGACGTCGGCGAGAAACGCCATTTTGTGATCGCGCTGTCGGCGACGTAAACATCGGACTTTCCAATTGTATTTGACTAATTGGACGCGCGGGGCGGGAAGGGTCCCTGCTCGCACCGGACTTGCCCGTCTGGACGCACAATCCGGCCAATTCCAGTCGCTCGCCGTGCCGCGACACCGTCTCGTGTCTCCCTAACGCGGTGACGTTTCGCGCCAAATCCTGAGAGCGTGAGACGCACACCTGGCGCACACTGCGTGCCTACAAGCAGCTACAAGAAACAGCTGTCGTCGATGCAGGCGATGTCGGTGCTACCCCTGCTATCTATCCACCGACATCCAGGTAACCGGCATCGACCATCGAGATCACGGACGATTTCATTACGATTACGAGCGATCGATGACCGACTGTGCGTTTCGGAACCGACCGCACTCCTGCGAGCTAGCGTTACGTGTTCTTGTTTACGTGTGACGCGTCATTAGAGATGGCCACGAAAGCTTCAGACCATTTGATTGCCCCTGCTACTTGTTGGAATTTTCCATTTACATTTCGTTTCATCGAGTCGCAAAAATTCCACTCTTCGAATCAACCCGAGATTCGAGTTCGAAAGAGTGACATTTCTTTTCAAAGCTCGACGATAAATTATTTCTCACAATTTTTTTATTGCAACTCTTTAGCATACTTTTTAGATATTAATCTCTTATATGTGTTGTGTTGTCGTCGACTGATGTGATTCTATTCTTTTCAGAGTCGTGCCATTACGAGAGAGCTTTAATCGTTGTATAAAACTTGTGCGCTATGACAAAAACAACCGTCTCGACGATTGTTCACTAGTGAATACTTAATTGATTTCTGAACAAGATTCAAAGATATGCTTTTTATGATTGCAAAGAGGCTTGATGAGTGCACAAAAGCATAAGGAATGGTATTCTATTCGATTCAGCTGGATGTCAGATAAGCTGAAAAATGTCTGGTGATGCAGGATGGAACGCCGTTATTCACCATCCTTCCGACTTAGAATTGCAGAATTGGAATTGGGAAGAAAACGATGGGGAGCAAGAGAAAGAACTTCCTTCGACCGTTGATATGGATGCCATAAAAGGCGGCGGTAGTTGGGATCCTGCTACTGAACCTAATGGTATCTGAAAAATTGCCACACTCTTAGATTTCGCAATTTAACGACCCTTGGAATCAATTATTTTTAATTACAGGAACAGATTCGGTCGATTCCGAAGAAGACTCCGATTCCGACGACGAAAGCTCTGGTGGAAGCGAAGGCAGTTGCTCTTATTCGGATTCTAATTCAGAATCAGACGACGAAAGTAGCGGCGACGAAGAAGAGGGAAGTGGATCTAATTCAGACTGTTCGTCTGGACACAGTGAACAAACGTTTTCCATTCAAGAAACCAATTTTGAGCCGGTACGACGTTAAAGACAATGTTACATTTAAAATTTTCTTCTTTTTTACGTTCTGTTGCTGCGACTTTTGTAAAAAGATAACTTGCCGTGCGTTGCAGGGAGCATTAAAATTGAAAATAACCATGAAAGGTCCAAAGAAGGAAGATACTGAAAAAATTAAATGTGACAAAAGTAAAAAGGCTGTTTGCAGAAAACCCAAGACCAATCATGGAAATAAGGTAATTTTAACAAGTAGTTAAAAAAACAGTTTACAAAGAAATTAATTAACGAATGTGTGTGTGCGTGCGTGATATAATATTGAATTTGTATTGTTATTCATTGTACAATAAATTATCACATCAACTGATGTAGTCCTCAGACTGTAGCAGCGATGATTCAGACTCGTCTGTGAGTCACATGGCATCGCAGCAAGTACAGCAACAACAATCCCAGCAACATCACCATGTGCCGCTACAAGAAATCAATCAGGAAGATCCAGCAATCGTCTTACCCTCGCAAGAACAAGAGGATGCACCATTTGACGGATTTGAGGATTCCGAGAGCGGTCGATTGGTGTCAAAAGCAATCGAGCGCATGTCACTCGGCGCAGATTCGGACATGAGCGAAAACGGCGATCAGAACCCTGTACCTGTGTATAGTTCCACCTTGTTACAGCAGTTTGTCGAAAAGACTGCTCTGTTGTCGGAACCACGAAAAAGGCGCAGCAAATGCGCCAAAAAGTCGTTGAACAACGACAACGAGTATCCATGCGTATCGAATGTGTCGCCTGATTCTGGCATTCAGTCCGTGGACAATAGTCCGCTACACTTGGCGATCAGTCCTGTCAGTCCTCCAGCGCCGACTCAATCTCCGATTCAACCGTCAATTTCCACTAAACCAGCGGTAAATGTCGATCGGATTCTATATCCTCCGAAAAGAAAACCCGGCAGACCAGCGAAAACAGTGTCTACGCAACCACGCGGACCAGGCAGGCCGCGTTTAAAGCCGGAAATTGTCGAGAAGATCCAAAAGATTGAGAAGGCAGAGAAAGAAAGAAACGAGTCTTTAAAAAATCTAAAGAATCCTGATTCTCGAGTAACGGAGAAAAAAGAAGCCATAAAGGAATCGAATGTAAAGAGCGCTAAGGAAGACGCGGCGTTGTTGGTTAGAAAACGTGGTAATGTTAAGTCTCTTGCATCGAGGGAAGTGAAAGAGGATATATCTCCCGTGAGTAAAAGAGTAAAAGGTAAAACGACAGCGTGTCAAAAGAAACGTTACGGTAACTCGGTGAAATCTTCGCAGGAGAAGATGATGGTCAAGAAGACCGCGGGTACGAGTTCCCCGATGCGAGTAAAGTGCCTAAGTAGATCCACCGCGAACAAACTCACGCCACAGTGTGACAATAGAACCTGTCGGAAGGTCAGGCAAGATAAAATATGCGCGCCTAATAAGAGCCCGTTGACACGACAGAAGCAAATGTCCTGCGAGCATCAACTTACCAATGACCAAAAGATGATAAGCACTAGTAAAAGAACAGGTTCAAAGGAGAATAGGAATAATGTGACTGCCGTTGTATCTAGGAAACTAGTGAAAAAGGTCGCGCCTCCGACCACTAGACGTGTTCTTAAGGAGAACAAATGCAACAAGAAAACTACTACGGCGGGCTTTGAAACCAATGGCGTAGGTGTGCAGACGTTAATATCGTTGCCAGTTGGCGACATATTAAAGGCAGAAAATGTGGAACGAGCTTCCAACAAGTACCACAAACCAATGCAGCCAATACAGCACAGTCACTGTCACAAACATCATCATCATCATCATCACAAACATCGTCGGAGACTGCTCGCACCACCGAAAACTCCTATTCGCATCGATCCATATATTATCCAGGAGTTGGAGAAATTAATCGAGGAGTTTACGAAATTGTGCAGTCTGGGCAAGAACAGCAACAACGGCAACAGCGTTGTCAATCATTCCGAGTTACCGCAAATTTTTCGCGTGAAGAAACTTACGAAGAAGAGAAAAGGCGGCGATACTAGTACAAATGACGATCAAAAACTGAAACGACGCTTGAAAAAAGAAAAGGTATTGACAAGTACTGACTCTAAGAGCAGCGCAAACACTAGTACGAGTTCCAATCCGAACGAGCAGCGGTTGCCATTGAAAAAACGCCACTATCACGTGTCGAGTCCGCACAGTTCGCAAAGTTCGAATGCGAGCTGCACTGATGCGAATGCGAACGAGTCCAATTCTACGGAAAGTCACATAGAGGAAGCAATCGAAGCTACTATTACGAGATACGGTGGCGGCAGCTCGACATCCTCCATTCACGACGAAGAGGCCATGCCGGTGACGCCGAAGAAAAGGCCAAGGGATACCGAGAACACGGCATCTGAGAAACAGGGTAGCGATGAAGATAAACCCGTCAGCCAAGTAGAGAGTCAACCACGACGGAAGAAAAAGATTGTGAAGGATCTTCGTGTCACTGTCACGAAATTATCATCCGAAAGCCACAGTTTTCTCGACAAGAATGACAAGGAGAAGTCAGCGGATAAGAGTTCCAAGATCAGCA